CTGTGTCCCCCCCCCACCCCAGCTGCTCTGGGTCACGGTCAGGGAGACTCAGGGCTCCGTACAGGAGTCACGGTCTCCACACCTCAGCTCTGGCCTTAAGTAGCCCAGGGAAGACACCAACGCCCACTCCTGGGTGAGCCAAGAGTTGCTACAGTAATTAAATACGAGAGACAACCTCCCCTCCCAGTTCAGGGTTGCAGCCAGCCCTGCTCAGGCCCTCCTCCTCCCCCAACCCTCCTCCATGTGCCAGTGCCCACAGCAGCTCCTTTCGGGGAGGAAGTCGCCAAGGACGGGGCCCCACCAGGATCCACTTTGTCTCAGATGAGGAGGAGAGGGGAAGGAGACTGGTGGGGAATCCAGATCCTTCCACGGCACCTGGATGTGTGCCCAGGCCCAGCCCTGGGCCAGGCCTGCCCCAGCCAGCCATAGCCTGGGGACAGCTGTCAGGACAGAGAGACTGGGTGTGAAGCCACAGCCAGAGCAGGTTTATGCAGAAGACTGAAGCCTGGGTGAACGCACGCACGGCGGCAGAGTTGCCAGTGAACGCACAGCAGAGAGAGAGCCCCTTCCCTACAGACCAGCGATTTAAACAGTGCAAAGCACTGGGAAGGGGCTTGGGGGTCTGAGCTGAAGCTGGGCTGCTGAGATAGAGGGAGAGCCTGGGCTCGTTCTGAAGGTCCCGCGAGATCACAGTGGGAGCTGGGAGGGGTTCGAGCTGAGGCTGACGCTGGACTGCGGAGCCCAGCTGCTGAGCTCGGGGCAGAGACAGGCTGCTGGCTGGGCTCTTCAGACAGGGGAGTGTCCAGCAGGCCGGGCAGGGTGCGGCTGTGTTGGCAGGGCAGAGAAATGGGGCCTGCTTGCTGCGTGTAGGAGAAGACGCCCAAGTCCTTGGGCCCCTGCACCTGCGTGGGAGACCTGGAAGAAGCTCCTTGCTGCTGGCCTCTGACTGGTGCAGCTCCAGCCCTTGCGGCCACCTGGGGAGTGAAGGAGCGGACAGAAGACCTCTCCTTCCCTCTCTCTCCCTCCCTCCCTCCCTCTCTGCCTCTGCCTCTCTGTAACTCTGCCTTTCAAATTAACAAATAAATATTTTTTAAGAAATGGGAAAATGACTCCACCCTCGAGTTTGTAATCAGGACACCTGCTGCCTGCGGTGTCCAGAAGCCCACGGGGTAGGGAGGAGGGTTCCAGTGGGATCACCCGCCTTTGCTCCGCCTTCCACGCCTGTAACCTGCATCTGTAGTCACCAGAACAGCTGCAGGGAGAGCCTGCTAGAACCCGGACTGCTGCCTGGAGCGAATGATACTGTTGCTGCTTTGTGCCCGTGCAAGGAAAGAAACAGTTGCCTCGCACCGCCTCACCTTGACCATGTCCTGTGGGCCTGAATTTGAAAATGTGCCCCCATGATAAGAACCATAAATCGGGTGTTTCAAGCAAGAGTTTGGAGGGAGGCACCAGTCCTTGCCGCCACTCAGGCTGGTGACTGAGCACTGAAGGAATAAAGGGGCACAGTGGGGGGGGGGATACAAATCCTCCCCAGTGAGCTACCTCTGAGGTATAGACTGCACGGGAACGCTGAGGGAGGTGGACCCAGAAGAGGGAGGGGCCTGCAGAGGAGGGAGGAGACCTGCACCACAAAGGAGCATCCAGGGACCAGGGTGTGGTGAGACCAGCAGAAAAAGAGAGGGAGATCTTCCAGGGCCTGGGGTAAAGTAAGGGCTCACTGGGGCACTGAGGCTCAGAGCCCGTGGCCTTGCTCCACCCCGTGCCCAGTCTTGAAATGCTGCTCCGTGCCCAGCACCCTTCCAGACTGTGCGAGTCTGGTGTCCAGCCAAGAGACATCAGGAAGCACTAGGATGCTCCATGGCCAGGATCCGTCAGTCATCTCAAGGCCTTCTCCCAGTCCCTCGCAAAGGGCTGGTCCTGCAAGGAAAGAGATAGAACAGAGTCTCAGCTCTGGGGGACTGATCCAGCCCAGGTCAGCAAGCCCGCGCCCTGAGTCTTAAGGCTGGCAGCTATGGTGACCACTCTTAACTGACAGGGACCTGGTGAGAGAGAGACAGAGAGGGGAGAGAGTGGGAGAGGGGAAAGAAGGAGAGATGGGAAGAAGGGGTGGAATGAGAAGGCCATGCCAAGATAGCCACTAGCAAGCAAGCATCAGTTACTCAGGAGTGGCTTCGGAAATCCACTGAGAAACCACCTGGCAACAGATCCTGCCTGGCAACAGGCTGTGATTGGTTAGGGTATAGACCGCCCCTTGACCAGATTGGCTGCCTTGGCTATATAACCTGCTGCACCAACTGAAATAAAGGAATCTGCGGGCTGCTCGCCTCTGGCCCACTTTCAGCCAACTCCTGGGGTCTGTGTGGTGGCTCCGTGCCTCTTGCCCCACCACACTCCTCCTCTCAGAACGAATCCACAGCAACAGGGAGAAGGGTTGAAGGCGGAGGGGAGAGGGAGAGAGAGAAGCAATGGGTGAGAGAGGCTCTCTGAAAAACAGAGGCGGGAGCAGTCTGCTTGCTCAGCCGTCTGCCCAGGCGATCTGATGCTGCTCAGAGTCAGATCTGAGTTGAATCCTGGCCATGGCACCAAGCTGTTGCAGGAAAGTGAAGACAAGTCCCCTCTCAGTTCCCATCTCACGGCTGGAGAGGAATTCCCGAGCAGACATGGAGAGCGAGCAAAGTCGGTCTATTGCAAGTGAGGAGCCTCCTGTCACAGCAGCCAGGAGGGAGGCTCCCAGGGCGCTGGCTCTTTTATACACAAAGTGGCCCACTCTGGTCTCCTTCTGAAAACCAGACCCAGATTTAACCAATCAGAGGAGGAGCAGAATAATAGCTAATTGAAGAACCTTAAAAATCAAACCAAGATGGAGTGACTTAAGCCAATACCATTAAAAACAAGAAGTCACCTTTGCCCCAAATAAAAATTAAAGTTTAAAATTACAGCCCTAAACTTTTTCCCCCAAAGCTAAAATTAGGTGCAGCTATAAAATAAGGGACCCTATGCTTAGCTAGCTGTGACACTTGTGCCTGGCTGTGCTAAGACCTAACCCAGTTTGTATACCTCCTAATACTCAAATAACGGTGTGGGAAGCGGGACGCTGCTCTCCCACAAGGGGAACAAAGGGAGCGAGATGTCGCCCCCCTCAGGGTGAACAAGATGGTGCTGGCAGGGAAAGGAACTACTAAAGAAGTAAACAACAAAGTGGCGATGAGGTGCATGCTTCCCGTGTGATCTCGTAGCTGATTGGATAGAAGACGCACGCCCTTCACATGATCAGCTCACGGATTGGACTGCTGTGTGCATGAACTCTATAGTGCTTTTGATTGGTCGCTGCGGGTATATAAACTGTGTGGCTTGTACTGGGGGTGCTCTCCGGACTCCCGAGTTCAGAAGGCCCGTCTGCGCAGACGCTGAATAAGTCCTCTTGCTTTTGCATCAGCTGGTCTGGAGTCTGAGTCTCTGGGGTGTGCCTCTCAACGTGTTAGCATCCTCACTCCGAGGGTCTAACACTAATCAGAAGACAGGGATTGCAATCCAGTGTAGCCTTCATAAAACTCAGTGCAGTTAGTGGACTGAACTGTTCTCCGATTGACCTAACTGCCGGTCAGCCCGTCTAATTCCTCACTGTGATTCTCAGCCCAGAGCTGTTGAAGGACCACTGGCCCAGGCCCAGAGGGGCACTCGGTGTGCACAGAAGCTACCATGATACCAGGCTCTGTGGAGGTTGGCTGCTGAGCAGGGGCACAACCATGGGTCTTCTTGGCTGGCGTACATTCCTAAAGCTGTACCTATGAAAAATGCATTCATTAAATAAAAGCTTTAAAAGAAAAAAAAGAATTCCATGGGGATTCTTAAGGGACTGACCGAGGCTGGGTGGGTGACCCCCTTCTTGGGCTGGAGGCGGGCAAGAGGTTGTTGGGAAATCTAGCAATCAGAATAATTAGTTACCAGTTACCATTTGAAATCCACTCCGGTTCTCTCTCTCTCTCTCTCTCTCTCTCTCTCTCTCTCTCTCAAAATTTATTTATTTATTTGCGAGGCAGAGTTATAGACAGAAAGACAGAGAGACAGAGAAAGAGGTCTTCCATCCACTGGTTCACTTCCCAAATGGCTGCAACGGCCGGAGCTGGAAGCTTCTTCCAGGTCTCCCACATGGGTGCAGGCACCCAAGCACTTGGGCCATCATCCACTGCTTTCCCAGGCCATCAGCAGAGAACTGGATCAGAAGTAGAGCAGCCAGGACACGAACCAGCATCCCTATGGAATGCTGGCACCATAGGTGGAGGCATAGCCAACTATACCATAGCGCCGGCATTGCTCCCACCCCTGCCCCTCTTTTTGGGTTGCCTTAGTGGAAGTTGATTTTCTGGGAAAGCATTCTTCCATGTAGGAAAAACCAAGAGATTATGAATCATAGATCAGGAGAAGAACAACCACACGAAATCCGACTGCAGGACCACAATTCTACAGAAGCAGAGATGTCAGCATATGGACTACCAACCCCCCTCCACCCTCCCTGCCTCAGCCCAATGCCACGGCCAGGGGCCACCCCCTTACCTGTCACAGACCCTGGAGATGGGGGATGAGTGGCACTGGGAGCTGACACCCAGGACTCTCAGCCGCACAACAAGTCTCGGGTGACCGACTGACTCAGGACAGCACAGCTCAAAGCAGGGCCAGTAGCGGCAGTGGGGGCCACAGAGGCGGGTCCGGTTCAGGGGCAGGATGGTGTCGTCATCACAGCACTGCTCCAGGGGGTTGTAGACCTGGTCCCCGCACCTGGGCGCCGGCTGGCACAGCCACAGACCGTCAGGCCCTGCAAAGCCAGAGCTGGGTGGGCTCCGGGGTTGTGTCCAGGACCAGCCCCAGCTCCGAGATGCTGCCTCCTCCCGCCTCATGCACCTGCTCTCACCTGGGACTCCTTCCGAGAGCGAGCCCAGGAGGACAGAGAGGAAGACGGCAGCTGTGAAGCAGAGGGGATGAGGACGGCGCTGGGACACCTGGTCCAGGCCCCAGCGACGGCACGGAGCTCCCTGCTCACGGACGCCGCTCAGAGTGGGTCAGGGTCCTGGGGTGTGGGTGGGCAGGTGGGACACACAGAGAGGCTCCGGGAGGAGTTAAGGTTCTGGGGCTGCAAGTGCGAGGGAGGTGGCAAAGCATCAGAGAGGACCGGGGTGATACGAGGAGGGAGACAAGAACTGCTTAGGGGAGAGAGTCAGGCTGGTGCCGTGCAGAGGTTAAGCTGCCACCTGAGACAGTGGCATCACGCACGGGTCCTGGCTCAAGCCCCGGCTTCTCCACGTCTGATGCACCGAGCACTCCGGGCACCATGCTTCTGAGCCGGCTGCAGGACAGTGGGTGGCGGAGCAGCTGCACCTCTGGGGTGGGACCTGGCTTTGTGGTCTATATAGGAGCCCAGGGACCTGCCAATCAGGCAGCAACACAGGCAGCAGGACCTGGGAGGGTGGGGACGGCACAGACAGCAGTCATTGAGTAACAGCTCCTGAATCTGGCCCAGGAGGCAGCCGCCTTCTCACACCCTCCGCCCTGAGAGCCTTTTCTGGGCACAGCTGAGGGGGCGCCCAGCTGGGAGAGACACCTGGGCCCTCCTTCCCCTGAAGGCACCCTCCCTCCCCAAACACTGGCTGTTTCCAGGCTCCCCACATGCCTTATCCCAGAGGTTTCAAGGCCCCCCTCCATGTCCACTCCTGCAGGGCTCCTGCTTCTGCAGAGTCAGGTGTGGGAGACCACGAAGGTGCAGCAGGATCGGGGGCTCCTCCGGGGCTGCAGACTCTCCACCAGGGAGTCGCCAGGGACAGAGTCACGGGGGACCCTGGGGTCCACGGTGCCTTTTTCTTGTTGCTCTAAGGTTTGTTTTTTTTTTTGTTTGTTTGTTTTTTTGACAGACAGAGTGGAAAGAAGAGAGAGAGAGAGAGACAAAGAGAAAGGTCTTCCTTTGCCGTTGGTTCACCCTCCAATGGCCGCCACGGCCGGTGCGCTGCGGCCGGTGCACCGCGCTGATCCGATGGCAGGAGCCAGGTGCTTCTCCTGGTCTCCCATGGGGTGCAGGGCCCAAGCACTTGGGCCATCCTCCACTGCACTCCCTGGCCACAGCAGAGAGCTGGCCTGCAAGAGGGGCACCCGGGACAGAATCCGGCACCCCAACCGGGACTAGAACCCGGTGTGCCGGCGCCGCAAGGCGGAGGATTAGTCTAGTGAGCCGCGGTGCTGGCCGCTCTAAGGGTCTTTAACAAGACAACTGTTACCCCGTGTTTGTCATTGCTGTCTGCCCGTCAGCATCACTCCGTCCGTGTGAGTGCAACGCCTGTGGGGTTCTCAGAGGCCGCCCCTCTGTGTTCCGGGGCTCCCCAGGGAGGCTGACACAGCACTGGGGCAGAGGCCTTAGGGGGCATCGCCGGGGGCAGGGACTCTCCTGTCCCGGGTCAGAGGAGGAGACTCCACCTGCAGGGTCTGACGCCTGCGTACAGAGCCGCCCGCTCCCTCCTCTGCGGGTGTGAAGTCGGTGCCTCTGCTTCCCCTGCACCCTAACAGGAGTCCCCTGGTCGCTGGACGTCCCCCGCTGAGAGAGCAGCTGCCGGGAAGTCAGGCCTGCGAGAGCCACGGTCCCAGATGCATTCGCCCGATGACTCCTCGGAGTCCTGCGCCTGCATCAGGGAGCTCCTGACCACGGATGGAGACGCACCCCCCCCCCGGGGGTGGGGCAGATAGGTCACATGGGCGGAGGAAATCGCAAAGGTGGTTCCTGGACTTCCTCTGTGCCTCCCTGGACTGTGTGCAGGAAATCCACGGAGCCTGCGGACACGGAGCGGCCAGGCTGAGCAGTCATCCCTGAGCACAGAGCCCGTGTGGCCCTGGCTGTCCGGTCTGTCTGATCGCAGGCGCCTCAACGTGGAGCCATGGGAGGCCTGGGGAAGCAGCAGAGTGAACGAGGCTCTGCCGCCAACTGCATCACCTGCAGCAAAGCCGGGAAGAAGCTGCAGCGGAGCCTGGTGATCCGGGCACTGTGCATCCGGGAGGGCATTTACTCGCAGGAGCCCAAGCACAGGACGATGGGGAACAAGGGCTCCAGACACTGTTTATCTCATCAAAGACATCAAGTTCCTCCTCCCGGAGCCCAGAGCCCAAGAGACAAGGGTTTGGAAGCCCTACGGGAAGAGAGTGGAAACCGTGGAGCATCAGAAAGACAAGCCCGACCATAAACTTGACCACAGCATCAAGGAGCAGTGCTCCACGCTCACTGATACTCTGCAGGACCAGCGGTGCCCTGTCCACGTGCCGTCCACTTGCCGCGGACGGGCAAGTGCCACGTGCAGACCCCTCAGCTCTGCCGCCGGCTCACCTTGGAGTTCCTGCACAAGGCCTTCCTTGTCCTTCATGTCCATCCAAGGCGTCTGCGTCCAGGCTGGGGTGCTGGGCCCCACCAGCGTGTGGATCACGCCCTACGCCTTCTCCCACGGTCACCCAAAAGACATGGACTACGGATGGTGCCCCCTCTGCCGGGTTCTACATCGCCTGCTGGAATTTGCCGACTTCCGCCTCTGCTGGCCGCTCTACCTCCTCTGCTTGCCCAAGCTCCAGGGTCAGGCCCTCACAGAGGTGACAGCCAGTGGGGACACGTGTGCACTGGGCTCATTCAATGGAGAAACGTGGCTGAGTTGCCGCCTGATGGGGAGTCCCTGATGGATTGTCACCTGTTCCACCCCTCACACTGGCTTTTCTCCCCTCTTGCACACTTGGGGGCTGTGATGGGTAGAGGGCAGGGAGCATTCGTTATGAAATGGCTGACTTTTGCAACGAATTGGAAAAAAAATTGAGTTCGTTACCTACACAGAGAAAGGAAGACTAGCCATAGGTTCCTGGTACCCGTGTCCCTTGCACCAAGTGACACTGAGACAAACACAGCCAGACAGCTGAACGGGAATAATAGGACATGGGGTCGGCGCTGTGGGACAGCGGCTCAGCCCCGTCTACAGCACCGGCATCCCATATGGGCACAGTTCGAGTCCCGGCTGCTCCACTCCCAATTCCAGCTTCCTGCCAAGCACAGGACATCAAGGGGGAGGTTCTGGGAGACGGGGCTGCTCTGTGCAGAGACCACATCGCCAGAGCCTGACCCATAGGCGGGGCTTCACCAAGGCCAGTCCCTGCCCTGCCGCCTGGCAGCCTCGTGCAACCTGTCCACTCATGGGCCTTGAAGGTCACTCTCTGGTTCTGCAGAGGATGGGTACTCTTCAGTACAGAAACCTCTAGTGCACACATACGTGCTCTGAGTAACTAACAATGCTGACCAAATGAGCCCACATGCGTCAGAACTGCCCCACTACATATGCATGAGCCAGTTGGGCTGGGCAGGTGCAGGGAGCCCCGTGTGAGTGCTGAGGGCGCGTTCCTCGGGCTCGCTTTGCAGCCTGCAGGGCCCAGTGTGCGTTTGCTGGCATCGCCCTCCACACCTGCTTGCGTCCATCGCTCGCATCAGCACTGGATTTCATTCCTTTTTTTTCCCTAAGAAGGGAATGTCGCATTGTTAAGAAAATACAGAGAGCATCGGGAGATCAAAATAAACACACAAACTCCCTTTCTCAGTGCAGGCTCGGTCAAGGTCAAGACGCTGATTCCAGAACTCCAGGGCATTTCTGAGAACTGAGGGTCCTGGGGCTGAGCCGCGGTGGTGCCGTCTTGATTAGCTGAAGAGAAAGGAGCTCCATTAAATAGTTAAAGCATTACAATAATTTGTTCTACCTGAAAGGTGCGGGTGGAGGTGCGGGTGGAGCTAGTGAAACAGGGAGTGACCTCCCACCCAGGGGCGCTGCCCAAACGCCGGCAACAGCTGGGTGAATCCAGCCAAAGCCGGTGCTGGGACTCCCGCGCAGGACAGACCCAGCTATGTGGCCTCATCTCCGCCCAGGGTGTGAATTCCTGGGCTCAAGGGTGGACTCCCCCTCAGGCTCTCAGATATGGGACCTGGGCGCCCAGACAGCTCCGGAACCACGCCCACGACAATGCTCCTCTCGAGATTAGAAAACAACAAAGCACCAGGAGGGGCGGAGTCAGGGCCGCCAGGGGCTGCGTGGTCACTTCCCTTGCAGCGCACGCACGGAGCCGCCCTGGGTGCTGGGGGCGCCGTCGGGTGGAGAGGACGCTCGGGGAAGCTTCCCGGGTGCTCTTCCTGCTGCGGCTGAGGCGAGATCTCTCATCACCGCCCCAATAAGCAGGAGCCATCAGGCTCGGCGCCCAGAGAGCCCAGGAGCCAACACCTGAGCGTCCCCAGAGCTCCGCGGCCGCGACTCACAGCCGCCCAGCCCTTGATTTAATTTGTTGATTTTATTAACTAGCAATCCTTGAGCATTTTCTGGGTACAGGGCAATACTCAACCCCGACACAGCGCCAGCTGATTAAACTGAAGCGAGTTCGCCGCCGTCCTGCTGGGTTAAACTCCCGTGGGAACTCAGGTCCTCTGTGCAGCTCCTGGGGGGCGGAGCCAGCGCTGGTTCCCACAGAGAAGGCAGTGGCTGCTCTGTCAGTGCGCGTGGTCAGCTCTGCTGTTTTCTGCGCCGTCCGTCATGTGTCCTCGGCGGTAGGACTTGGTCAAGATTAATTGTGCTCAGTGTGCAGGTTTGGTCTGGCCCTGTGGACCTCAGCTTCAGTGCTGGCCCAGGCCGCTTGAATGGACTCCTTTGTAAACTACTGAGGCCCCAGGCGCGTTGTCCCCTCCAGGAGTCCCGGGAAGCAGCAGCGAGTTCGTGGTTCTCCCCGGTAAGCTTCCCGCGCATGGGTGTCCGGGCTTCACATGGTGGGAGCGCCTCCTCCCCAGTGCCGCCAGCCACATCCTGTTCAAGCCATCAGAACAAGGGAGTCTGAGTTTATTTTGCAGCAAAACTTTCTCACGGCGCTGCGTTGTGGCACAGAGGGCAAAGCTGCCTCCTGGGCCCTGGCGTCCCACACGGGTGCCGTGAACGTCCTGAGGCTCCACTCCCATCCCGCTCCCTGCTAATGCATCTGGGAAAAGCCGCAGAGGAGGGTCCGAGTCCCTGGGCTCCTGCACCCACCTGGGAGATAGGGAAGAAGCTCCTGGCTCCTAGCTTTGGCCTCGCCCAGTTACAGCCATGGTGGCCATCTGGGGAGTGAACCAGCAGATGGAAGATCTCTCTCCCTGTCTCTGTCTCTCTGTAAGTCTGAATTTCAAAATAAGGAATCCTGAAATGAAATTTTT